GCAGCAGTGCCATGGGAAACAGGAAGCCCAAGGCCTTCAAATAACCTCTTACTTCTCACACTGAGTTCTTCCCCATTAAAGACGCTCATTGTGGCTGTTTCTGTGTCAACAACTATAAAGTAAGTTTGATTTTCTTAGATGATTTCCAGCTTTTCAAATTGATCTGGAAAGTTGTAGCAAGTCAAAAATAATGTTGCTACTTTATGTTTTTTTTTTCTTTATAATTTACATGGTAGCTATTTAATAGAAGGATTGTTAAGCTTTTCATCCCCACGTCCAATCAAAATTACCAGTATGCTGTCAAACTGGTTCTTGTATTTGAAAATGCTAATTGTATATAAAAAAAACTAAAATGTTTCTGCCTGTCCATTAGCAAAACGTCATATTATTGTTGACAAATTTGAATGAAAATTACAGCAGGAAATCATTGCATTTACAATCACAACTGATTATGTTTTGGAGTCGTTCAAGATGGCTGCCACATTATGCACTTATGCAAACTTGACTTTTTTGAGATTTACATGTCATTTCCTCGTTAAAAACATATCCATAGTGTTGCTTTGACTCATTCGTTCAGGTTTGAGAATTCCTTAAATGTGGTAGCCTTGCGGAGCTGCCTAAAACTTTGCAGTGGACACCTCCACAAAGCATTGTTGTGAAGATGTGCTGAAGTGGGATTGTCTGAAATGGTATAGGAGGTTCAGAGACTGAGGACAAGTGCAAGGCGTTTAGCTGGTTTATGATGCAAAGTCAAATTTATTTTTGATATATGTAGCATTTTTGTAAAACAGAAGGTAACAGTGAATTCGTGAATGTGGTTTGGAATTGAACTATGTGCCTGGAAAATACAGAATACCCCTCTTCCAAGCTAAAATTTAGTGAGGCTGATTTCCAACACATAATCCGTGCTTTAGCAAATTGTACGTTGATTTTGTTTTCAATGTTACCATTAAAAATCTGGAGTTAAAGTTCTCTACCTGTTAGCAAAATATCTCATGAACTGGATATAATTTACAAAAACTTTAAGATGATAACCATTGGATGTACCTATAGACCTAGAACTGATTAACTATTGAGACTAATCCAGTTCAAGATGGCTGCCACAACCAAAACACAAAATATGGCTCTGTCAGTTTTACCAATATTAGGTTAAAATTCACTGTAGTTGTGGAACAAATTTTCTTGAAACTTACAGAAAAACCGTTGGATGCACATCTAAAACTGATAAACATTTGGTATCAATCAAATTTAAGATGGCTACCACTGCTAATTAACTTGGCAAACTCAACATCGGATAAATCAGTATATTTTACAGATATTGAGCTAAAATTGAATCCTTCAGGGAACATTAAGCCTTTAATTTAGTTTGTTTTACTTTAAACACAAACAATCTTACTCAGTTCATGGGAAAAGGGTGACTTTCCCTGCTAAAAATATTTATCTAACTGCAGTGGAATCCATAATTTGTTGTTCAGTCCCATATTTATTTGCAGTACATGCCTTATGCACACAGATTTTTGTCATAGTACAAAATCCTTAAGAGCTGCCTTTGTGTTCATAACTTTACCAAAAAATCTTGAAAATGTAAAACCCGTCTGTGACCTTGTAGAGTAGACAGGAAATAAGAGCACTTGTAAACAAAAGCTGAGTTGGAGAAAGTTGGAGAAATAAAAACACTCGCAGTAAATTTATGTAGTAAGGTTATTTTTTTTCTAACTACGAAGAAAACCTCCTTTCTGATCTAGTTTGTCTTAATACAAAACATACAAATCTGTTTAGAAGGAACCTGATTGCTACATTGTACACTGATCCTAAACGTAATCTGTGTGTCAACATGTGTTCTCACCATTAGGACTCGTGGGAACCGTGCTGCAGGAGGGTATAAATCTATCTCCCAGCTCAAATCTGTGTCACCATATGCTTGCACACGAGCAGCAGAAACCACAGAAATAAAACGTACCTGACTGGCAGCTTCAAAGAATGTGTCTGTGTGGTAGCAGTGATGTAGGGGTTTTACATCATTAAAAAAAACATTTGACATCAGTTTGTTCACAGTTATCTCTCTTCTTTCTAACCACTTGCGAAATTTCCAACTAAGTAAGTCACCAACACACAGTCAAAGTGAACTTTCATGTTTACGACATGGAGGGGGGAGAGAGTCGGAAACATTAACTGGGAAAACCCATCCGTGAGTGGATGCTGACCCCCCGAATCCCACAGCTCAGCCTCAGGAATGATAGCTGCTCAGCTTGGCAGGGATGAATGATTAATGAGAGGAAAAGCATGGAGGAAGAGAGAGAGAGAGAGTGGGTGGGTAAAGTGATGCCCCTCATCCTGTCTGTTTTTAATTAGACCGAACAGAGATGAAGACCACAATAAGAGCTTTGAGGTGGAGGGAGAGTTTCTGTGCGCCAGTGTGTCCACACGTGCAGAGGTTTGTGTCTGCGAGTGTGTGTGGAGCTTGCAGATTAGATATTGTGAATTGGCAGCCTTAGGCTAGAACGGGCTTTTCAGTAACCCCCCCACCTCCAATTCCCCCCCCCCCCACCCCCCCCTTAAACACACACACACTTTGTCCCCATAGACCAGAGAAGCGCCGGCCATAAATGCCATGAGGGTGAAGCAGACCACCTTTGGAGTTTTGGAGACAAAATTACTCCACAACTGGAAATCACAAAAAAATAAAAAAAATAGCTGAACGGTACCATTTCTTAGCGACACCATTTGATAAGTTTACACTGTTCCATTATAAATAAAATACGAGGTTCATAAAATTTGCACCACATTGTGTTCCGTTTATGATTTACATTTCACAAAACATCCCAACATTTTCAGTATTGGGGGGGGTTGTAAGTGTCCTGAATGCACCTGTTGCGCTCAGAAAGCAAAAGCTGACGTCTCCTTTATGACCACTAAGGTCAGCCGCAAGGAATATGTTGGCACATTTCTCTCATCCATAAATCATTAGCATCAATCCACAGCAAACAAACAGCTCACAATCTGTCACTTCCCACTAGTTTGAGCTCAAATTTCTGCACTTTATTCCAATTAATCCCACTCTCTCAACATCCAATCCAATTACATTTCACAGCCATCTGGCTTTCAAATGGAGATCACAAGCATTAAGGTGGTGGTAGAGTTGTGGGGTGTGGGGGGGATGTTTGTTCAAAATGATGGAGACGGGGGTCTTTTGGGAAGGGAGAGGGAGGTGATAGCAGTGTGTGTGTGTGCTGAGGTGTCTGGGGGTGGCTGTGGCATGATGGGAAGCCCCACTCCGATTAGTCACACAGCATTATTCTGACTGCAGGACAATGGGTGCCGGGCGGCGGGCGAGCCCCAGCTGTCGCCCATGAAAGAGCAGAACAACAAGATTTAGGGCTGGACGCGTCCTCTCACTTCGCCTTCGCGGGGGCCTTGCATTCATTAACCAGGCTGCTGTTTGGAGCGGGTGGGGGTGTCTATCCACCTCACCACATTCACATTCTGGATCTCACGTTTTTCTTTTTTTTATTCCTTCACTTCTCAGAGTTTTGGATGTTTATGAGGTGGGGTGTGTGGAGTAACGCAGCTCCTGAAGGAAGCAGAGAGGAGCAGAAACTTCAGAGAAGGGCCTCTCTGGTTGCTGGGGGCACAGGAGCCACTCAATGGCTGGAATGATGGGGGCGGGGGGTATGTGGGTCCTTTTCTTTCTAACACCCAATGCACTTAGG